TTGTGAGGTCAAATGATCAACTTGCAGATATCTTCACCAAGTCTCTCACTGGTCCTCGTATTATATATATATGTAACAAGCTCGGTACATATGATTTGTATGCACCGGCTTGAGGGGGAGTGTTAATTTACAGCATGTATATAGTATAGTATTGTCCCACATTGGTAGAGGAGTAGTATGTCCTTGTATAGTATAGCTATAAATAAGGACCTCTTGTGTAGTATTATTCATTCATTCAATATATCAATAACATATTTTCTCCCGTGCCTTCTCACAGTGGGATTACACTGGTTTTTTTTTGTTGTTGTTGTTGTTATTGTTGTTATACTTGTAGAGCTTCAACTACTTCCTTTCCATCTTATAGATGAAAACACTGAAATAACGCTTGGAGACTTGTTTCCATCCAACTAGAAAAAAACTAGAGAAATGTTTTTGCTTTTAATAAAAAGAGACAAACTAAAGAAAACTCACTATAGCCAAACATAGTTCCTCTCTCACACACCATGACATTTTGATTTCCAGCCAATCTCACTTTTTCAGCAGAATTTGCCATCACCTGAGGACATTGTAGCATAAGTTGAAAATGGATAGAACATACACGAGTGCGCCCAAGATACTAGCTTATCACGGTTTTGGCAGGAGCACGTGAAAGGAGACCTAGGAAGAAACATAAAAGAGGGATGTTACTTACTGAAGGAGCACAAAATTGGCCCTTCTTAATGTTGATAATTTTTCCAGTTTTGGCAGCTGCGACAAGTAGGTCAGTCTGTAATTAAATGCCAAAAGGCAGATCAATATGGGTGAGGAATGTATTAATGTCTGGGGCTGCAAAAGCCAATATCAGAAACTAAATCAGAGATATCTATCTGAAAATAAAGATTATGTCTGGAGACCAACCTGCCGACATAAGAAAGCAGGAATCTGAATTATATCTGCAACCCGGCCAACTGCTTCGCACTGGCAAAACAGTGTTAGATGCAGTTCATATTAGAAGGGAAATACTTCTGGACCACCAATGTTCGATGATGAGTTGATATACAAAATGGATAAATAAACTGAAAATCACGCTGATCCCATTACATGGATGCAATAACTACTAAACTCTTGGCATCCAATATGTTTCTGACAAATAAACAGTCATCTGAACCAATAGTACAGTTTGTTTATGAAATCTTCTCATCCATTTATTAAGAAGGGGAAGAAGAACTAGAGCTAAATACCTGCCAATCATAGCACACGAGACATCCATTACATTTGAAGAAGAGTCGGAAATGAGGATTATGATACAAGACAGTACTTTGAGGAAGGGAAAAACGATAAGTTGGTCAACAAAGTTCAAAGGAAGAAGAATGGATGAAAAGCAAAAATGACGCACAATATATTTACGGAAGTAAACTAATTTCCTAAGTGAATATTGCATTCGATCATCAATTTTGCGGATCAAACAGAACATTCGAACAAAAAGTTTAACTATAAACGGCAGAGTGCCATCAGAACTAGGGAAACAAATTTTACCTGACTAGATTCATGAACATCAGTAACAATGGGTACGTCATACATTGTTTTCACTTTTTCAAGGATCTGCAACAAACGGGGAAAAAATGAAATGTTATATTTTGGAAGGGTTTGTGCAACAGTGGATGTCATACAAGAGCTGGAATCAGTGTTGGCGGAGCTAGTTTGGAGGAAGGGGGTCCAATTGAATCCCCTACTGTGCAAATAGCGTAAAAACTAGTCATTTTGGTTACAAATATGCTATTGAATTCCCTCGACATGAGGGAAATTTCTAGTAAATTGAAAAATGGGTTAAACATTTGCTTTAGATCACAGGTCCAAATCCCAAGTGTGACAGTTTAAAATCCTCTTGTATAGAATATTGGCTCCACTACTGGCAGGAATATGACATTAATCCATGCTGCAAAATTGTATCACATGGGAAGAAGGAATAGAGACCTTTATTTACCAATTTCTAAAACAGAAATTGGAGTTAAACGCAAAGGAAAACAAATACCAACATGAAGCCAAAGTATTTTAATGTCCTTCTAGAAACTAGAGTTTCTAATTTTGCAGCAAAGTAGTGGCATTTTATACCTTCAGGCCTTCAGCTAAGCCAGGACCGCGGAATGATTTAGAGGAAGTGCGATTAGCCTTGTCAAAGCTCGACTTGAACACAAACTTCAACCCAAGTCTATAAAAAAAATATATTAACAGCTCAATCATTTAATTGATGTAATGAAATTCAACAACAAAGGACCTCATATTGGAACATATGATAAATAATACCATCCCTAAACTGGTGAAAGACATAAAATTGAAAATGCACTAAAACAAATGAATACATACCAAAATTACACGTGGCACTGAGAAATGAGAGACATAAACTTACTTAGAAGTGATATATTTCAAGTGTTTGGCCATGTAAAGAATGTGATCCTCTGATTCAATCACATTGGGACCTGCTAGTAAGAAAAATGGCTCTGCTTTCTGGCAGGGGATTTTCGACAGCAATTAAGCAGTTAGTGTTAAGGAAGAAATAGGAAGGAATAAAAAGTAATATGCAGAAAATGAAACATTTTTTAAGAAAGATGAGGAAAATTAACGTTGAAATTTCAGACCTTGAGCTGGTTGAAGAGCAGTGTTGAGGAATCCATTTTTGCTGCAAATTTCGGAAAGTAAGCAGTTTGAAGCAAGAGTTCGCCGGAGTGATTGCCGAAAGTGAAAGCAAGCAGTTAATCTGAATTTTAGATCCAGCTTTCTAGAAGAAATTTGGGCCTGTGATTTTGAAGTCCTAAATGGGAAAAAAATAAAAAAAAAATAGCCAATAAATACTGTTCAAAACTAATCCAAATTTAACTATTTTTTCATTTAAAAATAAAATCTGAACAAAAATAATATTAAAAATCCAAAAATATTTTAGCATAATATGTTGGAGTTTAAATTTTTACATATGAGATTCTAGCATAATGTGCTGGAGTTCCAACATAATATGTTGAAAGTTTAAATGCAGTAGCTCCATAATCCAGTATATGATGCTGGAATTTTCCGTATTTCAGCAAAATAGTTGTTATCTTTTAATGACTTTGCAAACGATGCCTATTTTTTGATTATTAGTTCAAAAATGGCTAGCCGCTATTTTCACTCCTAAATGCCCAATTGGACACCGAATGCTTTTTCTTTTGTAAAAGTGACACTAGTTAGCCGTTCTAAATTCTTGCTATTTAGGAAGTAGCCAATATATCATGAATTTTGATAGCATCAAGGACAAGGATAGAGTTTTGGAAGCTCCAAGGCCATTTACAAGATCTCA